GATGCCAGTCTCGCTGCTCTTTTCTGCCTGTATACCTCCTCCAGCCTGGGCTGAATTGGCTAATTAGAACCCCGACGCGGAATGAGCTTGACCATTGCCTTGTGCATTCTGGAGTTGCCTGCCAGCCCGAACCTCTTCAGTCATATTCTCTGCCATGCATGTGGGCGCCCAAGGCCCCGCCCCGCCTAGTCTCCCTCGTGTAGACATTCGTGCAGGCACCGTCACCGTCAGGAGTGGCGAGGGAGATTCTGAAGCTTCCGCGTTTTGGGGGCTACGGAGTGGGCAGTCGTTGCCCTTAAGTCGGGCAAGTCCCTCTACAGGAGGAATTTCCAAAAAGATTCAAAGTTAGTCAGTGGAAAATGTTTCTACTATTGTTGACTACGTTTGAGTATTCTTCTACTACTTTTCATTATTCTTCAACATTCCGCCTGTAGTAGGACATGCCCGACCTAATGCCAGGCGTTTTTGCGGCGGATGCGTCGGCTGCGGTGGTTGCGGCGGCTGCGGCGTTTCAGTTTCGCTGCGCGCTGCTACTCGCGTGATGTCGACACGTATGCCTCTGGCGATCTTGGACCGCCCAGGAATGGATGATTCTTCGCCCGACAGAAGATGTATAGGTCTTGAGCTCACATTACTTGTCATATCGTCCTCGTCCTGGGTCACCTCATCCTCACCCCTCACTGTCCTGCTATATGTCTGTTCTAGATCATCATTTGACTTCTTCTCATTGCCCTCGCCCTTATCTCACTTCATCCGCCCCCTGCTCCTCGTCTTCGGGATCGGCTCTTGGGGTAACGTGTTGTCCCCCACTTGCCCACTCATCTCTGGTATCCCCAATCGCACCACAATCGCCCAGACGCAATTCGTGACGATTCGTGTATTTCACCAGCCCCTGTGCGCGCGCTAGGTCAATGAGTTCTGCTCGTAGCCCGAGCCGACCTGTGACGCCGCCGGCGCCTTCGCCTGCGGTCGCGACGAACAAGTATTTCACCAGCCCATCCGGCAACGATTCCTAGGCGGGGTGCTTGGACCTGTGACGTGTAGGAGCACACGGTCGCACATAGAGGAAGGGCTACCACCTCATTGTCTGCGCACTATTCCCCTTGTCGTATCTCCCTCGGTAGGGGGGCGCGAATTCCTTTTTCCTCGTGGTTGAGTTTTGAGATCATCGTCGAATAGGACAGGCCCAAACAAACGAGGGATTCACCTACACAAACCTTTGCCTCCTGGGGCAATGTTGAGTCTCTCGGAGGGTGTTTTTGGATGCCCTCTGGGCTCGCGTGGGGCCCTCTTCGGGGGCTTTCCGGGCAGTCACTGCCCGCTTCTGGAGGCCAACGGTCAGACGGGGTCCTTAATTGCCCCCCGGCCCGTCGGAGCAGGACGCGCCGCTTGTCAGAATCTTCCTGGGGCGCTCTGGGAGCCACGTCGGGGGGCCATCTTGAAGCTTGAGACGCCCACAAGAAGCGAGAAGCCGAACCCGCAGGAAACATGCGGGAGATCAGCCGCCAGGGTTGTGATGTCCCAACCTTTCTTTAGCCTTGATCACCAGAGGAACGTCGAGCCCCCCAAAAAATCTGGAACTCGATGAGTTTCGCGTGTCGGGCCTTGGGAGACACTCGTCCGACATTGTTTCGACACTCTTTCGGAACTCTTTCGACACTTTCCCGGTTGCTCGAAAGTATTTCCGGAATGTGGTCTTTAAGTGCGATGGGAGCAACATAACGCCAGGGCCCGTTATTGTCCTACCGATCCGATTCGACATCGATTTTCGCCTGCTCGATATGATTCGATTCCGATATTTGGCGATAGGGTGGGGCCCGATGCTTGCATGGCGCCGTTGTGAATCCTGGCGCGGCCGATTCGATTGGATTCCGATGTCGTGCCGATGTGGCCCGATCCGACGCACATTCCGATTCGATAATTTGTACCGATTCGTGATTCGTTGTTGATTGAATTTGCCCACAAACGTACCCGACCCATCTGCAGCAAGTGGCTAAATCAGCGGGCCTTGCCAGAGCGACGTGTGATGGGAGAGGGCATGCGATATCCTGCTAAACCAATGCAGTCAACACTGATAGTACGAATGAGCGGAATTCCAATGTTCCGTTTGCATCTTTCCTTTTCGGCCCATCCTTGGCCACTTTCAGTGGCCGCGCCCCGCTGGAGAAGTTTCGACATGGCCCTCGAAGGCCTTTGCACCCTTATCGTGCATCCTTATTATACGCGTTGACTGTACAGGAAGCCATGCCGCTGCGGGCTCATCCTGCCTTATCTGGAGCGCAGCTCAGGGAGGCGGAAGGAGGTGAGAGAACAAGGCCACAGAGACAAAGGGGGGAAGGAGGACACGAGAGGAAGGATCTGCGCACGACCGCCCCGCATCACCAGGGGCAGCATCGGGGAGCGCGAGGCCTCGTTTAGATCTGCTGGACCTCCCAGCGGCGCCTTGCAGTGGCGGCACTTGCGCACCCGGCAGCACCTCAGGGACTCCCCTTCGGAGGGGCCTGGTCGCGCCTGGGGCCCGCGTGGCACCGCGTTCTGCTGGACCTCTGAGCGGTACAGCAGCGTGGCGGCGGCTGCGGGCTTGGCAGCATCCAGGGACGTGCGAGTTCCAGCATGTCACCGCCCACCAAGCCATTCCAACCCAACCTGAAGGCCGCGATTTGCCCTCCATTTCCAGCGGGGGGGGGCCGGGGAACATGGACAAAAAACACATGTGGAGCCCGCGCCCTCCCCCAACCCGAAATTCCTGCGAAATTCGGGTCTTCGGGTTGGCTTGGGGTGGCCTGGTAGGTAGTCAGAAAGATTTCCGTGCAGGAGGGGCCGCCCCCGCTAGACCTCTCAGGGTCGCAGCAACGTTGAGTCGCTCCCTGAGCCGATCGGGGCCGCACCCCCCCCCGCTGGACCCCTCACCTCAGGGTGGCGGCAGTTCTCAGAAGATTGCGCACCTGTCAGCACCCAAGCCAAGGGGAGGGGCGATACCCTCCTCATCCTCCTCCTCCTACTCCTCCTCCCCCTCCCCCTCCTCCTCCTCCTCCTCCTCCTCCTCCTCCTCCGCCTCCTCCTCCTCCGTCTCCTCCTCTTCCTCTTCCTCCTCCTCCTGCTCCTCCTCCTCCTCCTCCTCCTCCTCCTCCTCCTCCTCCCCCTCCTTAGGACCACACCGCGCAGGACCTCTCAGGGGCGCATCAGCGTGGCAACAGTTGGGTTGTTGGCAGCACCCTGGAGGGGGCAGGTGTTTGATGGTTCGGAGCCTCGTGGAGCAGCATCCTCTTCTGGGCGTGGCAACGTGACGGTCAGTGCGCACTTAGCAGTGCAAAGGAGGGAAGCGAAGAGGGCCGGAGGAAGCTGCAGAGAAGGCTAAGCGTGCCAGGTAGGAAGCATGAGGGAGGGGAGGGATGGCAGGAAGGAGGAGGAGGAGGAGGAGGAGGAGGAGGAGGAGGAGAAGGAGGAGGAGGAGGAGGAGGAGGAGCGGAGAGGAGCGGCAGTGCTTCGTTCAACCGACCCAACACATGAGGTTTGGGGAAACAGTTCTTTGGGCGTTGAATGATCGAGGCCTCTCGGGATCATATTTGGGAGATTATGTGGCCACTTGGAGTTGCGTTGACATTGCCTTGTTTTTACTGGAGACGTGGTAGAAGCCAATTTGGACCATCGTTAGCAATTTTGCGCCATCCTGGCGACCAGCTTAGGCTGTCTACGGCCTCTGGGGGCATCTTAGATCCTTAGATCCACCCCTGGCACAAGCGGACCCCCCTTACACATTGTGGCCCCCCTGTCCGTGTGCAGACCCAGGGGGGACAGGGATGGGCAGAGGTAGGTCAAACGCCTCCGCGGAGGGGAAGAAGGGGATTTGGACGAGCTCGCTCCCTACACTTTGCCCTCTGCTCCCCTCTCCTATGTTCCCCTCCTGCCTCTTTCTATCCTTTCCCCTCCCTGCTCATATCTCGCTTTCGTCATTCCCGCTGTCAACCCCATCCCCCCTCTCTCTCTCGCTCCCTCCCTCCTGTCCCTCCTTCCTCTCTCTCCCGCCTGCGGCGAGTCACCGTCACACCCCCTGCATTCTTCGCGCTGCATCTTCGGGGGACCTCGCCTGTCCCCAGAATTGGTGTCTTCTGTTATGCCCGGCGCGGGCTCGATGCGGACAGGACGCGGGTGTTGTGTGGATTCGGCGTGAATTCGACGTGGATTCGACGCGGATCCGACGAGTCCGACATGGATTCGGCACCGATTCGACGCGGATAGGGCCGAGAGGGGGCAGACAAGGTCCCCCGAGGATGCAAGATAGCTCTGGATTATGAAGACGCCGTTGTGGCACAGTTTTGGGCGAAAGTGCGGCTACGCTGGTCTGAGGGTACCTTTGGACGTTCTGTGTGCTTCGGCCGGCGGAGGGTCTCGTGTGCTTGCTGGTATGTTTTTCTGGCCCAGGTCCGACTGCAGGGTCGAGGGGTCCCCCGGGGCCGCCGGAAGAAACGTAACAGCATGGGTGGTGACGCAAGGGGAGCCGCGATGGTTCGTCCAGGCGGTGAGATAGAGGCTTCCCAGGAAGGCCGGAGGAAGCCAACTTCCTCAAGCTCCGTTTGGGAAGTTTTGGGGATCCGTTGGGAATCTCGAGGACACGGGGCCCACAGGAACCCCCCAGGAGCCCAAAGGAACCCGAAGGAATCCCCCGTGAATCACGCAGGGATCTGCAGGAATCCTCCTGGAACCATCACGAGCTCTCTAAGAACCTTCAGGAAACCTGCAGGAATACGGCGGGAATTCTCGGGAACCTTGCGGAACTTTCGTGAATCTGCAGGAGCCGACAGGATCCCGAATTATCAAGGGAGGAGGGCATGTGGGGGGGACATCTGTGGCCAGAAAGGTGTCTTGGTTGCTGCGTAACTCGTGCCACAGGCAGCGCGCCCCCTCGCTCTGAGACTTCCTGCGACAAGGGAAAGCATTGAGAGCACAAGTGGACCAAGGCTGCCCAACCGGAGATGGCCCAAACGAATCCAAGACGGCTT